TGAATTGGTGCCCTCAATTCATTTTTTGAATATCCTTTAACGCTGAATGTACACTTAATGGCACATATTAGCCGGATGCTTCTAATGATGGTCGTGGTACAATAGTGCGGTCGCATTTACTGCGTTTCCAAGTAATATGTTTGTCCATGTGTCGTTTATTCGATTTAAAATAGTAAAAATCATTGCTATAGATGAAAATATGTATGTCTATCCAAAAACGTACCCTTTTCACAAGCAGTATGAATATTTAAACGTCCTTTATTTTGCCAAATACATAAAGGACATTGTCAATACTTGTTTTAAGTTGAAATAAGCTACACATGACGTTGTTATTCTATCCAATTACTGTAGCAGTACAATCAAAAAGCTACAAAAATCGTAAGACACTATGTTCCTCTTACAGAAAAAAATATATCCTGTTTTGGAAAATAATATTCAAACTATTCCAATACATTTTGCTTCAAATAAGTATACTTATTGATTCATAGCAATGGAAACTCAGCAATTGCCATCGGACTAATCATAATCCCGAACCACAATGTTCATTTACGCTTTGAAGAAGATTTTACATCACAACATAACGCTTATGGCTTTGTATAGCAATGGCAGCTAGCTACTGCAGGTGTGCAATTTTTGTGGTACATCTAAGCCACACTTTGATTTCACGATTACATGAGCCATGGTCTCTTAGCTTGGGCCCAAGTAGTTGGATGTTGGGGTGGGGGGGAGAGCAGGATTTTTTATTATCTGCTCTGAATCAGGCCCACTGACCAAATCATTAGCTTTCAAGTGGAGTTCTGGCATCGCGAACGTAGTCGTGACATTGGTCAGACGTCGTCGGCCTCTGTTACACGACGCTGAAGCCTGCCGCTTGCGCACGATGAATTGGATCGATTAAAAGTGAAAACGCACGGAAAATTTTATTTTATTCAGAACCTACACCAGGTACTGCTGTTTCTTTTTTTTAATGGAGATGCCAGGTTAGAGGGAGACCTGTTTTGTATATCAATTGTGGCAGTAGGCTAGCAGGGCTATACTGTGCTGGTGATCTCTAATAAACGTGAATTCGTTGTACACTTCATCGTCTGTTTTATTGCTGAGAAAATTAAACACTGGGAGATCTGATCGGAGGACGTGGCGTTTCTTTTCACCAGTACGCCAATGACACTCGGGTATATATTGACATGCAGGGCAAACATAATTCTACTTCCCTCCCCGCTTGACTGTTTGGATGTCTGACAGCTGTCTGAAACAATCCAGACAATTCAGAATATTTTCTGGTTGAGCAGGAGTCTAAACTTGTTGGCCTGAGGCTCATGGCAGCGTCTTTAACGGTCAATGGAATGGCACCCCGACTAGTAAATATGACTAAGAGTCGTGGCTTGGTGTTGGGTAAGTCACTGTCGGTTCTGCCCAAGATAAAATAAGTAGTAAAAACCCGTGTGTTCCACTTATGGACAAAGATATCAAACTTTCCCGTCTTGACGGAGATTGTGCTTAGGTGCTTAATGCCCTTGTAACATCTCGTCTCGACTATGGCAATGCCTTTAACGTGGGTCATTCACGGTGTCCAGTTAGACTACTCCAGGACGTTCTGAACGCATCTGCGCGACTATTGACTGACCAACCATTCTCGTCGAGACCCAAGACCCCAAACTTTACTCGACCTGCAACTGGCTTCCAATTGAGCTCCGTGCACGATTCAAATTATTGTGCTTAGTTCACAAAGCACTCTTTCAGCAATTGCCTCAATATTTGACCAATAGACTGCATGCAGCTTTACAATCCTTGGAGTTTGAGGTCCCCATACACCGTGACCATGATATTTCTGTCAGCCGCGCTTTCGGCAAAAGAAAACGTTTTGGAGCTCAGGCCTTTTTCGGTCCTTGGCTTTTAGATTTGGAACGCACTGCCTGAAAAACTGCGCCTGACTGCTGATATGTTCGCATTTTAGAAATAAGTTAGAAGCCCCCTTCTTTCCTACCATATTGTTAGATAGACTAAAGCTATTTATGTTTTCTTATTCGATTTAAGGCACTCTGAAGCCCTTTCTTGGGTCTGCTGCGCCTTATAAAAACGTCAATAACAATAAACAGGTAGCACTTTTCTAACGCATGTTGAACTTCTTTAGCACCTATACATAGCCAACCGTGATTGTCGGAGGTGCGGAGGAAGGACATCAGACAAAACACAAAGCAGTTCTAAAGCAATTAGTTTTCAATCTCGGTGATTTTAAAGTGCATCGCTCCCAAGTAGCTTTCTAATATAGGCAGGAAGAGCCTTGCCGACTGCCGCAGAAGCGCACCTGAACGTTCAGATGCGCATTTGTCGTTTGTAGTTAGACGGGGACTATTGAGGCGTATAGAGGCCGTCCATAAATGACGTCACGCACCTAGGGGGTGGTGGTGGGGGGGTCAGACATTTGTGACGATGTGTGACGAGGAGGTGGGTGGGTTTGAGAAATGTGACGTGACATCAGAATGCGCAACTTTGAATAAATATAGACAACACGTTCTACTTAATTAAATAGACTTTTTAATAAATGTTTTCTCCTACAACATCAGAGTGCAGCGCCGCATTAAATACGCACTACAATGACAATAATTTAAAGCGATTTGAAGCATGTTTGATTTTTTTTTGGGGGGGCGGGCAGAGTTTTGTGACGTCATATTTGAAGGGGGGGGGTCTGACTTTTTGTGACGCCGTGTGACGAAGGTG